CACGTAGCTCAGTTGGCAGAGCATTAGACTACCCCAAAGGTCGCGGGTTCGATTCCCACCGTGGTCAAGCTAACATTTCAACTTGCCCGGTGTGGATGCACACTCAGAGTAACATCACAAGCATCATGACACGCTTGCAACGCTGTCGTTGTATAATATATACAGCTATTTCAATTAAAGGCCCTGTTACACGATGCAATTTTTCATGCAACTTGTCTCGCAATGGCGTTGCGAGACAAGTTGCACGAGTCATTGCACCGTTTAACATGCCTTGCAATGGTCAAAATCTTTGCGAGACAAGTTGCATGAAGCATTGCATAGAGTAGAAGTCGGTTCTACTTTTGGCAACGATTGCACTAATTATCTTTAGCATTGTAGCGTGTAACATGGCTTCGTGCAACTTGTCTCGCAATGTTTATAGCTTGGAGAGTTCCTATTGGCTCTCGCCAGTACACGCTTTATTTTAATTACAATTTGGCGCCAAATAGCGCCTCTCCCTAGTCTCTTCGCATGCCTCTGTCCCCTATCGTTGCGAGTTGCATGAAAATCATTGCAGCGTGTAACACTTGTTGCAATGCATTATCAAAATCCTTTTTAAACATTGCGAGACAAGTTGCATGAAAAATTGCACCGTGTAAAGGCCTGATTCCACGGGCGCTTTTTCTCGGCGAAATGCGAAATATTTCGCCTGTTTCCTTTGAAATGTGGGCAATCAAGTAGAAATAATTTATTCCAGTGGTCGCAATTCAAAAGAAACAGGCGAAATATTTCGCATTTCGCCGAGAAAACAGCGCCCGTGGAATCAGGCCTTAACAGGGCCTTAAGGTTGTCCACGAGCAAAGCGGAAAAGTCGAATACGAGCGCGAAAGCCTGCTGGGAACCGCTTTGAAAATTCATTAATTTGTTAGCGATTCCCAGCAGCCTTTCGCGCTCGTATTCGACTCTTCCGCTTTGCCCGTGGACAACCTTAATTGAAATAGCTGTAAACACCAATCGTAGCAATTTTGTGTTCAATTCGTTCAACAAACATTTGCTATTCTAACCGTATTTACGGGAATAGCTTGCTCACTCTTTCAAATGACGTCCGAAATATTTTGTTTACAAGAAAAGACCAAAGCAATAGAAGGACGGGGACCGAAGCTGTTTACACTTGGGCCGTAACGTTTCGCGATGAACTCTGTAAATGGAGCAATAAGCTCTGTAGGGTTAACCTGTCATGACTAAGTTTGTAAAAAAAAAAAAAAGCAAAAACCGATCCGATACAAGAGAGAGAGTAAGAGTTGAGAGTTGCAAGGATATGGAATACTCTTCCAGAAGAGTTACGCGAACCGGACATTTCGTTCACAAGTTTCAAGAACATGTTGCTCAACTACTACATGAGAGCCACCGGAACAATATTTGACTTAGATAAGCCACAATCATGGAAAACTGTATGTCTGAAATGCCACCAAGCAAGACACTTACTAACTCCAAAGGTCTGCTGTTATTAGTTAGTTTCGCTTGAATTAAACTATATACATTACTCACTGTTTATATATGTTATTTATATTGTGCAAATGTTACTGTGCTGTTTTATACTTGCGTGTTAAGCTGTGCATTATGTGTTTTGTACTTGTTAAACCAGGTCGTCAACGTAATTGGCCTTCGCTGTGTTGACGTTCCTGTGCCGTTCTGACTTCTGTACTAGTGTAAATTTTGTAAACGGCAAAGTTTATAAATAAATAAATAAATGTAAACATAGCTTGGGTGCGACAGAACGAATTAGGTATTTGGAGAGATGTTAAGATAATTTCTGATAAATCTGCCCAAATTTTCTTGATTTTTCCTGGTATTTGCCCGAATTTCCATGGTTTTCTAAATTATTTTTGGGGGAGGGGCAACTGGCCACTGTTTTGTCAGCCTATCACAAGGTTCCATGTAGACAACCCCAATTTAAATACCACCACCTCTTCACACTAACCCTATAATCATGATGTATTTTAGAATAGTACATGAACAAACATGGATACAGGTAGATACTAAATTGTTAATTATCAGTATATGGCAACATTTTTTTAAATGTTTATCTAAGACGATGAGAAGAATATATCAAACTATAAAATATTTACATACGTAAGATTACAAAACCTGTATCCATCTCGATCTAAACTAATGCTTATTCGATGCTTGTTTTTGCCCCTATGTGGAAGGTTTCACATTAATACGAGGGAGCCACTAAAAAACTAATTCTCAGCATTTCGCCAAAACACACCAATTGCTATTCACATGGAAAAAATATTCCTTGCTATAGACGATCGAGGGTCCTTTTCGATCGTAAGCGATCAACCCAAGCCAGTTATTCCCACACTGACGTCATAGCACAGTGTTCAGTTAATCTGGAACAGTGTAGCCTGCGAACAGGCTCTCTTTGAAATGGGTGCAGTGGGGCAATCGCCAACTCTAAATAATGTCTTAAATGACTTTAGGCTCTTAAACCTCCGGTCAAACGAGTATAGAGTTCTGATGAGAGAGAATATTTTTATTTTCGCTATCCAGTAAAACTCTCATCAATTTTCGTGCAACTCTTGTTCTCTTTTGACCGGGACAAGAGAGTTGAGAAAATCTCATGCAAACTTTCGCTTCTCAACTCTCATCAATTCTAATGTGACACCTTTCATTAAATCAAACTAAGACATCCTAGGGGGGGGGGGGGGGGCATGGGCTATGTTATCAACCCGAATTCTCAGCTCAAATCTCTCAAATATTTTGACAAAACTTGTTTTTTTATTTGTGAGTAATAAGGAATACTAGAGGAAAATGAAAGGCAGTAGGAAAGGCTGATAGTTGAAGGGTTTTTGTAGAAGGAAATTTTGAGCGGAAGATTATATACAATTTTAAAATTCCTGAATAATTAAGAATGGCTCCTGGTTTAGCCTGCGTCACAACAGACTATATACACTCCTGGTTAGGTTAAAATTGTGTGTGAAACTCATTAATAATTCATGAAGAAACCACAAAAGAAATCACGACCGTGAAGGAGTTTGTATATCTGATACAAAATCATGTTGATTTACGTAAACTTTAAGTTCAATTTTCTCACCAAATATCATTTATTTATTTCAAATTGTTGAAGAATACGAATGTTCTCATCAAGACGAGTTTCACAAGCCACTTACAACATTCGCGTCCAAGCCTTGTATCGGACACACAACGCGGCCGCTCAAGTTGCAAATAATACTTATAATCTCCGCCCTCGAAATTTCCAACTACAGAAACCCTGGCTTCATGCAATTGTTGTTCTATCGAGCAAAATACCCAAAATATCTCAGTAGGAAAGGCTCTACTCCCATCTGCGTTTTCGCCACTACTTCTCTTTTACTCCGTTTTCTGGGAATATTTCAGAGTCGGACTTGGGGGTTGGTCATTGTCCTCGTCCATATTTGTCCTTAGAGTCCATCTCTGTGATCTTTAGCGCTTGCAGGCTTACTCGAAAATCTTCCAATTTCTCCTTTAACATGTGATGGTCCGCTTCCAGCTTCGGTAAGGACTCTTGGTTTGATAATTGTCAAGACAGACAGACACACGCACATATATACCTGTTGCACGTAAAGCACGCGAGGCCAATTTCACTGAGCTCATTTTTTGTGAAAGCTCAGTAATTGCTTGCTCGGCGCCATTGAGCCGACGTTTACACGATTCAATGAGGACCCTAGCTTCTCTGACAACGTTGTCAAACTGTCTCCCCTTCAAATAATCAACTTCTTCGTGTTGCAGGATTTCGTTCATCAGACCACTGGCTTGTTCCACCAAAGAGATAATTTGTTCCTGTTGCAGTTTGACATCTTCAAGGCATTGGACAATATATTGACGTTGACCGGGAAACGGATCCTCAGGTGTGTTTAGCCACGCACAGGCCAACTCCATCATGGCAAAAAGATGCGCGTGGTTGCCAAGCTCTATATGAGGTAAAGAAAAAGATGCATCGTGCGTCAAGATCAGGGGTTGAAATTTTTAAAAAAATTAGTCGCCCAAGTGAATAAAATCTGGTCGCCAAATTTAATATCAGGTCTCCCTATATCAATGTGTAATGAAGCTTCTTTATATTCTCTTTGAAAATAGATGTTTGTTGTTTATATTTGATATGCCGAGAAATTATACGAAAAAGCGGGATGAAATACTCGAGATACTGAGATATTTGAAGTCTTAAGAATTAATTTATTTGAGATTTTTCTCTAAGGGCTACCTTTGGCAAATATCGGTTGCCAGTCGAAAAAATTGGCGAATTGACGCCCGGTCATTCAGAGGAAGTGCTATCCCTATTTTAATAGGTGAGGGGGGGGGTGGGGTAAGTGAAATGTTGCCGAGTCATTTGAACCACTAATTAATATATCCCCCCACACCCCTCCACCCCCGCAGTCATTTCAACCCCTGGTCAAGATCGAATATATACCTATACATAAGTAGGGGGGAGGGGGGGAAATAGTTCCTTTTCCAAATTTCCCCCGGGCAATATTTCCTATTCCCTGTTCTTCATGGGATTAAAACCAGTTTTCCAATTCAATCGTACCGAAACGTAGCGTATTTCTTTGTTTCCTGAGCGGTAGTGTAGAACTAATGACTTCGACACAAAAGAGAATGCTACAGTACGTTACGATTGAAGTGGAAAACAGGCTTTTAATCCGTCTGTTTGCCCATAGTTAATTGGTGCCCCCATCTCACGAACCAAGCAAATTCATTGTAAGATGACGTACGTGATGAAGATACACGCTGGTAACATGAACTGGGGACGCGGATTGCTAATTGCTTTGCTTTGCCGTATTGTCTGAAATGTTTCTATAATTCTTTAAAATTTAAAACAATATTCTATAGACAGTATAATACAACAAATATTTACAGCATACACTGATCTTAGCTTTTACAGCGACAAAATATGGACAATATACTCAAGTGGCTATTTCACAAATTATTCGGGCGCCTACCTGTTAAATTATACAGAGCCCGCAGAACTTGCTCTTGCTTTTGCCCATACGTTTGTCCGCTGTGTTCCAGCCATTCTAAAGTGGCATCAACCACTTGTATGAACCGATTTAGCCGGCTAGTTTGGCTGTGTCTTTGCTTTTGGTGGTATTCCACTGTCGCTTTGGTGTTTAACGAGTCGCCAATGGAGCGAAGTATTCTTGCGACTTCAGTGATTTCCGTTCTGTTGGCAATGGCATCAAAATTTGCTTGAACATCTTCACCTACTGCTAACAATTGACGCGCCGGTTCGTTTGGCATTTCTCTGGCAGCCATCTTATTAATGTAGGTCAACTGAGAGGTGTTATTTGTGTGGAGTGTTTCGTGTATTTGATTATACCTGACACTTCCTGACGTACCCTTCCTGGTATTGTTTAAACCGCTGCTTAAATCTGATGCGGAACGCGGGCAAAGAGCACAGATGAGGCAAAGAGTAAAGATATAAAGAGAGTTCATTCGGTGAAAAATGCAGTGTTTAGGACGTCACACGAATTTGCGAAGCTGACGCCATTTACACGCCATCAAAAGCAAATTAAATATTCCCAAATAAATTTAATATGCCAGCAGCCAGTACCGTCGCTGCGTTTTCAGTCAAAACTCAGATAGGGAAAACGCAGTTCGAAATGCAAAAAGTGGCATTTTTAAGGAAAAGACGCTTTCGAGCTTCATATCTGGACAAAATTTTTCAACAATAACAGTAAGTGATCTTTTCTATATTCACATATTAAGAAGTACGGTTGAGCTTTTGAAAAGCGTTTATTTGATTTTAGTGAAAGTTGAAGGAGCGGTCTGCCCACAGATTGTGATATCCTATAAAGCGAACAAAACTATTTGCGGGGAATATATTTCAGTGGCAAGACTCTCTGCTTGGCAAGTTGAGTTTGTACTTAATGGGTTGATATCCTGACAATCAAAATACACAATTTAAATCAGATCAACACATGCACACATACACGTAAGACTGAGACATTTTGGTCGAGACTTGTTTTTTGCTAGTTTTTTCTCGTTGAAAAAAGTGAGTTATGCTCTTACCTGAACATTATATGATACGAAATATACTGGAATGTCAATTCTGAACAACTTCTGAGCTTTTCTGTCGCAAAAACGACCCAACTGGAGTATAGAACATCGTGTAGAACAACTTTTTGATCTCTTTTTGACTTGTCAACACAAGTTTCGAACTTCACTCTTTCGAGTTTAATTTTCCCTTTTCGCAGCGTTCAAGTAGTGTTTATAGCCCCATTTGTTGTTAAAAATGTCCAGTCTAACCCATTTTCTTGAAATTAAATTTGAAATTTTCTTGAAACAGTAAGTCACCTGGATAGTTTCGTTAAAATCGCTGTTTTTATGACAAAAATTCGGATTTCCCCATCTATTTCCTTATAAAAAAAATTTCACGGTCTATACTGGTTGGGAAGTTACGCATGCGCAGTATGGCCAATCGTGCGTGTGACTTGTTTTGGCTTGAGTGAACTCTCTGTATATACTTCCTCTGTGACGCGGGGGAGACGTGCTTTGACACGTATGGATCTGTTTTGTTTTCAAAGTTAGCTATCACACTTTTGACAACATAAGCAAATTTCGATCGTCGAAATCTTGTTTCAAGGCAGTCTTAATTTGTCCGTGCTGTCTTTAAACGCCAGGAAGTTCACTTGTTGCTGTTTTCCTGGAATTAAGTTCTTCCTGTAGTGGTAGTTGACTTCGACACAAAAAAATGCAACGCATAGGCGTACGGGGTGGGGGGGGGGAGCAAGGGTGGCAACTGCCCCCCCCCCCAGATTGTTGGACAGACTAGGCCAGTCGGGCAATATTTGCTTCACAGTCGGGCAATATCGGCTTATTATAAAATGAATAGAAGAAATTCTCTAAATATTAGGGGAAAATATGCCATATAATAGTTGAAATGGAGGAAATGAATGGAAATTTCCGTACACCTATGGTGAAAATCCATTGCATGCACACGACATGCATCAACTGTATTGGCCTGCGTGCGAGGTCTAAATTCTTGTATATTTCAATTTTGTGTGATTTTGAAACAGCCATTAATAATCATGATACAAAAACGGTATGGCAATGAATGAGGCTAAGCGTATAATTTTTTCTATCTAAACATGTCATAAAATGTTAAACTGTTAATGTTAAACCACGCCGAACGACTCGGTTCTTAACGAAATCTCTATACCTTATACGTATAACCTTACTCCTTAGTCTAAACTCTAAAGTAAATTACATAGTCTTGTAACTATAAAGTAAAAGTTTTCCACTATTTTTTACGGCTTATTTCTCTTACGCCTTTACTCTTCAGACTATCATATGAATTAAAATTACAAGGTATAACAAATGAACGGGGTTATCTAAAAACTCACAGTTTATATCCTTGTAGTTCTCAGCAGTTTCCAAGATTTAAAATGGTTTGGCTCTGTTACTCCTAGCCGCTTATTTATAGAGGGGGGCAAGGGTTATTTTCGTGATTAGCGATTATATGTGCTTCGTGATTCGTGATTTGAAGAAATACCATTCCGTGAATCGTGATTAATATGCGTGCCGTGAATCGTGAAGAGCTAAAAGGGCTTTAATTTATCAATATTTTACCCTAACTTGTGAATGTTTACGTTTAAAACTCGGCCCAATTTTAATATTAAGGTTTAAAAAGTGAAAAATTTGTTTCCCGCAGTTGTCTTTCTCGAGGTTTCATCGTAAACGTTGTTGTCTTATACCTTATATGTTGTTTTAATATTTAACACGCCCCTCATGGAAATCAGCCCAGAATTGATGGGGCTAGCGTGTTCCTTTCGGTTAATTTTAAATAAAGTATTGCCTGCCTGCCTTCGTACCTCTTCGTAGACGTCGTGAACCATCGTAAGACGCTCGTAATGTTTCGTAATGCCTCGCAATGATTTCCATAGTCTTTTTAAAAGTTTTAATGTTAAAGTCAGTAAAAAGTGTTTGTGTTAACAACGACTTCTGCTGTCTAGAAAATCGTTAAATGGTTTCAGACTTTGTTACGCTTCTGTGTTCCTAAAATTCGTGAAAATGAAATTTTGTTTTTCGTGACTCGTGAAATCTAAAAATGATCTTCGTGATTTCGTGACGAGACCCCCCTTGCCCCCCTTGCCCCCCTCTTTATATTCTAACTGCCTTCTGGCGCAAGACGGAAAGGTTGCGTGGGAGTTTAGGGGCTTAGTTTTAGCAAGTTAACTGACATCCTGACATCTTACACCTGTTTTAATTAGCGCTTTTTATCACATGAAATGAAATGAAAAGGAATTGAATACCTTATCTTCACTCCAACCATATAATCCTGACCCTGATGTATATTAAAGTCATTTCAGAATATTACAAATATGAACAAACATCGATACAGCTATATACTAAGTTGTTTATTTATTATATGGCAACATTTTAATGTTTATATAAGACGATGAAAAGAATATCAAACTATAAAATATTATATACAAGCGTACGATTACATAGTCTGTATCCATCTTAATCTAAACTAATGCTTATTCGATACTTATTTTTGCTCTTATATAGAAGTATCACATTACTGAATACGAGCGGACCCCTAAAAAACTAATTCTCAGCATTTCGCCAAAACACACCAATTGCTATTCACATGGGAAAAATATTCCTTGCTAGACAATCGAGGGTCCTTTTGGATCGTAAGCGATTAACCCATGCAAGCCAGTTATTCCCACATTGACGTCATAGCACAGTTTTTAGTTAATCTGGTGCAGTGGCGCAATCGCCAACCCTAAATAATGTCTTAAATGACTTTAGGCTCTTTTACAGGTAAACTACGTGAAGCGTTCCTCTTTTGACTTCGTAACTCATTTGGAATTTTCCTCACTAAGTTTGTAAATTTGAAAAACTCTTTGCAAATCCCTTGAGGGAATTTGCAATGTTCCTATCGGCTGTTGCAATATTCCAATGCAAACAAACTTCATTTTAAATTTTCCTAACTTCCTGTTTTAATTTCCTAACTTCCTGTTCTGTTCTGAGCGTTGTTATATTGGTCGATTATTTTTGTTAGCCAATTGCAACTCGCAGAACAGAACAGGAAGTTAGGAACTTGTAACAGGAAGTTAGGAACTTCTAACAGGAATTGAGGAAAATTTAATTGGATTTTAGCAACATTGCAAATTTCCTCAAGGTATTTGCAAAGGAGTTTTTTAAATTGCAAAAGTAATGAGGAAAATTGCAATGAGGCATTTACCTGTAAAGACCAGTGGCGTAACGTTATATCAGGGGGCCCCCGGTTCAAAATTTTCGAAGGCCCCCTAGTAGAAGTGCCAAAGGCACGAGTCGAGCACCGTATAAGCACAAAGTTTTCTGGGGGGTCCAGGGCATGCTCATCCGGAAAATTTTTGAATCTAGACTCTCTGAGATGCCATTTCCTGGACTTTAGGGAGAGATTTTACAGAATTCTGATGGTCAGAAAATAACATTGTAACATATCAGAGGACCTGGCCAATGTTTTTGCTCTATCGCCTAAGCCTGGGGGC